AATAGTTGCAAAGCAATCATCTGTTATAGTACTACGCACTGGAGCAAATCTCTTGAGGAAATTAGTTCCGTCATCAGAACAGGGTTTAAGTAGCGTGCAATGGATATGGCAGGAGGCCTTGAGCATTAAACGGTGAAGGTGAAGTAAAATACCTGTGTGCATGAATTCAGCCCCCTTGGCTGGGTGCCAAAAGAGGCAGGAGTCCTGTAAGAGATCACAAGTGTATTTGTGTAACCAAAGATTGTATTAAATGGCACTGAGCAGTGTGTACATCACAGAAACCTCACTTTTCAGCCCTTTCAGCAGGAGTTACATCTTTAAGACCTGGCTACCTCAGGTGAAGACCTTGCAGAGAAGTAGAACACTTAACATTATTTCCTAGGGTGGTATGATCCATGGATTCAGGGCTTGGATTTTACAGATCTGTGCAGCATCTTTGAGTGATTTTGGAATTGTGAACCTTGATCTCTCCTTCACCACCAAACTGCAGTATTAGCCACTGTTAATAGCATATAGTATTACTTCATATAAAGTGTTAGCCACCACAGATTAATAATTTTCAGTATGACTCAACAATTCCAAGAATTGGAATGTGTAATTATGCAATTCAAGCTTGATGAAGACACTGACAGTCTTTGGGACCACTGTAAGTCCTTAGCTATCAAAGAAAAAGTTTTTGTTAAGGTGGGCTTTTCTGTGGATGTTTTCTGTGACCCAGTCATATGACAACAAGTTCAGGTTCTATTGCAATCAGTAAAAAACCACTTCTTTAAAAAAAAAAATCATATTAGAATTGTATCCTTGATCTGTCAGCTCCTCAGTTTCCCCATCTGAAGGGCAGGAATAAGCAGGCAACATTTAATGGTAGCTGAGCACTTTGAGATCCTTGGATGAATGAGGCCAAAATCTACAGTATTATTTTTGGTCTTGTGACAGACTGGATTTCACTTACACACCATTATTTTGAGAAGTGTGTTAGGTTATTTGCCTGTCCATGCTAACAATGATAATAAATTGCTCTCCACACTTCACTAAGAGAACGAAGCCGTATTTACAGATTATAGTGTGGATAAGGCAGAAATACTGTTCCCATCACTACAGTAAAGGATCTGTCAGCACTTTCATTACCGTACTTTAATTCCAGCGGTTCGCAAGCCCATTTTGATTACCGTTACCAAATAGACTGTTATTTTTCAGCTTTATTAATGTTAAGTGAATAAATCATGGAAGTTAAAATTGCTTTTGTTCTCCCATAACTAAAATTGGCATGAAGTTCAAAAAAATGCAATTTGGAAAGCAATTCAATTTGTCTGACAGGGAAAGATAAAGTCAAAGGACTGGCCACTTCATATACTTATACTGTAATCTCACAATCGTGTGTCTAGATCTGTATTGACATGATGATACACCAGAAAAAATAATACTCCTGTGGAGCTATGCCAATTGTTTTGATACCTAGTATCATATTTTAAAACTGCTTAAATAGACATTTACGTTGTGTCTGGGTGGTCCTTGGGTTAAAAAATATGCTTTCAATAACTTTCCCTCAAATATATATTTTTTATTTTTAATAAAAAAGAGGAAATTAAAGAAAAAAACCTCATGTTATTTTAACATTGAGGTTTCAACAATAATGAAATTCAAATTTAAACTCGACACATCATCTTAACTCATTCAACAAGGTATTTCTAAGAAATACCAATAATGGGATGAGTTAAGATGAATAAATCAGCCCTAAATGAAAACTCTTAAGTTATGTTTCATTACTGAAAAATGCGTGCACACATTTTCCCCTTATGGTTTTGTAAAAGGAACTTGGAAGCTTGAAACTGGAGTACTTGGTAATGTGCAGCCTATGTTTTCATGGAAAGGGCATCTGAGATGGACTTGGGGACCCCAAGGTCAGCAAGCAACATAGCCCATCTCAGTTGCCACCTCCAGGAATGGGACTCAGTAGCCCATGATACCACTGAAGGCAGGAGGAACACGGCCTGCACTGTGCTGAGGATTCCTCGGAGCTCTTGAATGCTGGTTTCATTCATCACGACTGAGGAAAATGCTCTCACTCTCTGAGAAGGCCTTACCTTCCATGGTGATAAATGGGGTGAGGCAATCACATCTGCTGTTCTTGTCGTGTCTCTGTCCTTCCAAATGCAATGCCTGTGGTGCTTCGTGCTGTGCACTCCTGAGAGGCAGTGTCTGGCTGTTCATTTGCATTGTGCTGAATGTTAAGGTAATTTAAAAGCCATCTCATGCTCTTTTGAAAGGTTGTAGTGGAACAGTGAGAAGGAAAGTTGCCTGCTCACCTTCATTTAGCTGGTGCACTGAATAAAAAAGTCCTTGTGAGAGGAGAGAGGAGAGGGCACTCTCCTTCAGTCTGCAAAGCAGACAGGGTGTGAGGGAAGGACTTTTCAAAGGACAAGGTATGGCTGTGTAGCAGAAGCATAAACCGGCGACTGGTAGAGGAGGTTATACACTGCCCTGGCTTAGGCTGATGGGAAGAGACTGCAGATTCAGAAAGCCTCTGAAGAGTATGTAGAAAAGTGGAAAACCATTCAAAGGTTTAATTTAGGTGCCTATCTCTCCCTCTACACTCACAATCACTGACTTTGTAATGTTATTCTGCTTTATCCAGCAGATCTGTTTTCTATTTCTACCTATATTAATTGAATTCAAATTAAAATAAAATCCAGATTCTGAAATTCATTGGTTTATAGTGCTTTGGGGATGTTTACAATTAAGAAAAAGCATAAGAAAGTGTGTGTGTGTATATATATATATATAAATATATAGGAAATATAGGAAAGTATAGGAAAAAGATGCATCTCTAAGCTCTGGTTAACTCAGGATCCTTTCATACTTGTATTGCTCTATTTTTCTTCCTTCCTGGTTGTAAAACTCCACTAGCCACCTTGTATTTGGAAATCCAATTGAAGATCATAACATACGAAGTTCCTTCTGGGATTTAGAGTCTGTGGCTAGATGTTGAGCCTTAGGTTATCTGATCTCCACTGGCTCCAAGGATTGCACTGATCCTTTGTTTTCATTTTCCATTATTGGAGGAAAGATAACGTGATGCTGTCATGTATAAAATCCTGGTTTTCATGATTTATTTAAAACTGCCCTCCAAGTATTAATGCCTCTGCAATGAGACAAGTGCCATATATTAATTTAGCAAAAGTCAGGATTAATCTGATGAATGGCAAGAATAACAACCTTATACCACTTCATGTCAATAATTGATTAGCAGAAAATGCCACTTCATGGTAATCATTGGTTAGCAGAAAATGCCACCTCATATTAATCATTGATTAGCAGCAAATGTAAATTTTCTTTACAAAAATGGAATTTAAATGGTAATTAAATAAAATATGATTTATAAACCCAAAATATCCTGTTTAATTTTAACTTCACATGGTGACAAAAATACACAACATAAATAAGCAGACATAAATACGTAACATAAATAAGCAATATGGTTTTCTTTAGAAACTAAATTGTTGGTACTAAAGGAAATGAAAACATATATTTCTTTGTAAAATAGGGATTTTGTAAAATAGGAATTTCAAAAATCAAAATCAGGACTTCACCGCATATAATTTCTCTTTTCTGCAAATATGCATAACTGCTAGCAAAACTGACAAGTTAGTACCAAGAAGAACAGAAACAGAAGGACAGATCACGTGTGGACAGAAATCCCCTTTTGTGTCAGTGTTGACAAATACTCCCAAACCAGAAATCATTCTGGGAGGAAACTGTTGCTTCATGAAAACACTATGATCTAGAGGTCATGCTTTCTTGCCTAAGACACATTTCTGTGATAAATCCTGCAGTTCTCACAGTGCTATGGGTCTTGCCCCACAGCCCTCTCCATGAAGGAGGAAAGGATAGGTTGTTATGAGTCATGGCTGTAAAGTACGGCACATCCTCTTGGGTAAATGCTCAGCCTGTGCAAATGTAGCCATTCCACCAGCTCAGGAAGACCCCTCCTTCTCTGTATTTCACCCATAACTTATTTCATGGCCCTTCTCCAGTGGTCCATGCCCCCAAAAACGAAGACCAGAGTGTGTGCATTCTCGATCCCCACTAATGAAGCTGCAGTGTGGGCAGCATGTCATAGATGCACCTTGAAGAGCTCAGTGTTCTGCTCTGTGCCTAACCAACTGCTTGGCACTTTGCCCCCATCTTCCCCTGGGAGAAAGAAGGAAGAGAAGGCCTAAAGCAAGAGGAGAAGCAAGGTGCAAAGCCAGGCAGCACCTGATGTGTCTTCTGTATGGGATGGGGATTCTGCCCAGGCCCTATACCCTGGGAAACCAAAAGAACCCCAAGTCTACACAACCCTAATGGCAGAGAGAGTTTTTTACAAATACAGGTAAACACACCCAACAATCTTATGTCGAGTAACCTTGTTTCAGGTCACAGAATCATAGACTCTAAGAGTATTTGGAGTTGGAAGGGACCCACAAGGACCATCGAGTACAACCATTAAGTGAATGGCCTGAACCAGGATTGAACCCATAATATTGGTGTTATTAGAAACAGGCTCTAACCAAGTGAGCTAATCTCAATCTCTAAAACTTTTCTTTTTTTTTTTTTTTTTGAAGTGGGTATTATTTAAGGTCTCCCTTTAGAAAGGGGTAGATATTACTCTAAAGATTTGGGATGTTTGTGAGAGGAAGACTGAGCTCAGTACACCAGGACATGCACACTCTTGCCGGGAGTCGACGGTGAGTCGCTCCTGCGCCTTTGATACGGCTGGAAAGTCTGCCGGCCGCGGCCCCGCTCCCTCGCGCTCTCTCTCTGTCTATCTACCTGCTCCCCTCGGGCCTGGGCCGGCGGAGGCGGGGGATATCCCATCCCGGGCGGACTCTCCTTCCCGCCCGGCGGGGAGGTCTCCTCGGGTCGGGGGCGCTGCCGCCGTTGGCCGCGCGGGGGCGCTGGCGGCCGCCCCGTTGCCCGGCGTTGGTCTGGGCTGCCCGTGCCGGCCGCGGCATTCCCGCTGCTCGCTCGGCGCGCAGCGGCCGGGAATGGGGGAGCTGCTGCTGCTACTCTGCCCGCGCCCCGCGGCTCCGGCGCCGCCTCCCGCTTTCTCGGCCTGAAGCGCTCCTGCTCTCGTGGATCCCGGCAGGGAAGGGGCCATGGGCCGCCTCCCCGAGGCGCGGCGGCTGTGAGGCGGCTGGCGTTCGCTCAGGGAGCCGGAGGAAGGCTGCCGGCTGCCGGCCGGCCCGCGCCGGGCAGGAGAGTGCCGCTCGCAGGCGGCGGCGGGCGCGCAGGCAGCACCTCGGTGCCGGCGACTCGGGGGTGCCGCTGCCCGCCCGCGCCCGGCCGCGGCGGTGCATGGATGCGCCATGGCCACGCTGGTGTGCCGGGTGCAGCTGCTGGATGACACCGACCCCTTCAACAGCACCAACTTCCCCGAGCCCACCCGGCCGCCGCTCTACACCTTCCGAGAGGACATCCCGCTCGCCACCCAGCTGGCCGGCGTGCACCGCCTGCTCCGCGCCCCGCAGAAGGTACCGGGGGAGGGCAGGGCAGGGGGATGTGTGTGTGTGTGTGTGTGTGTGTGTGTGTGTGTGTGTGTGTGTGTGTGTGTGTGTGTGTGTGGCGGGGGCACCGGGCGAAGGGCAGCGGCCTCCCTGCATGAGCCCGGCGGCGGGGAACAGAGGCCGGCGGGCGGCTCCCGGCTCTGCGGGGCGGCAGCCCGGGCTGTGTGCGGGGAGAGCGCCCGGCGGCGGGGCTGCCCCGCTGGACCCTGTGTGCCCCCTCTGGCTCCCCATTTGCCCCCGCCGGCGCTATCCCTCGCCCCGGCAGTATCAGTGTTTCCTTAAGTCCCGCGGGGACTCCCAGGGCTCCCTCCGCTGCTCTCCTGTGCTCCCAAAAGCCCTCAAGGGCAGCTACCACCTTTGCTGCAGCTGTAGCTGTAGCTGCTGCAGGCATTCCTCAGGAGAAGAAAAACCTCATCAAACCGGAGCCCCAGTTGGGTATCAAGTACTGCGTGTCCGTCCTTCGCTAGCGTTGCCGGAGTGTCCGGGAATACTGAGGGATAAGGCGGTTCAGGACAGCCGGGTTGCGCGGAGCAGGGTCGCGCCGGCAGGACCAGGGCTTTGCCGTGGTGAGGTTTAATGAGCTAGGCAGATCCAGCCAAGGCTTTGGTAAAAATAGCAGCGTGTCTGCTGCCCTTGAAACAATCGGTACTATTAGTCTCTCTTGCGAAGAACTGCAGCATGGCCCTTGTCAAATCTTACCCATCTCTTTTTGCATGCTTCTTCTAGTACATATGCTGGCATCTGTAGGTCAGCCCTTGAAGTCAGGCACCCGGGCATGATCCTTGAATTTTTAGTTTTCAAAGCAATGCCATTGATTGACATAATAATAATAACGTCCTTTCATTATTATCTTCTATCTGCACATTAGTTATGCAGACTGCACCGAAGAAAAAAGAGAAAATGCCCACTTCTTTTTTTTTTTCTACAAAGTAAAAGTTGTAAAACTTTTATTCGCTCTGTGATGAAGTGGGAGGAAAATACTCTCTTAACATCACTTCTTGAGTTATGCTCATGGGAGCATGCGGGAAGATGACAAAGGGGTGTGTGTCCTCTTAGATTTAAGGATATCCAAAACCCCATAAAAGTATTTCAGAGAAAAGCTCTTGGAGCAGACAGAAGTTTTGCATTTGTAGAACGGTTTCTTGCATAATAGTTGCCAAGGATACAGCATCCAGCGAACAGAGCTCTGCCTAACGCACAAAAACTTTGGAAGCTCTTGGTGTGCTGGGTCAATTCTGTTTTCATGTGCCCAGTCGTCCCCAATTCAGAGAGTGCTCTCATTGTTTTCAAGGGAGGCCTTTTTTGGGCTTAGAGCTAATTAAAAGAAGGGCAGGATGGATTCTGACACCTAATGAAGTAAATAAAGAGACAGTTTAAAATCTGGATTCAGAGTTAATTCAACCTCATTTTCAAGCGTATTCTACTGTGTTGTGTTTTGCATTTAGTTTGCTTTGAATACTCTTCTGGCATTTTTTTTATAACCTTAATACTAACACCACCAGCAACTCCATGTTGCTTGACTTAATGTCCTAGGAGCCATCCAAAATCCTTGACCACTTTTATACACTTAACTCCTGCCCAGTGTTCCCACGTGCAATGTTTCTCAAGTTTAATTAATGTTTGGAAACCAGACTTGCAGACTTTGGGTGAGAGATGGCCCAAGTCCCCAGAAGTGCTGCAAACCCAGCTATTGAAAGACAGTACTCTGCTAGAGGCAAGTCCTGGTCCAGTGACTTGTTAATCTGAGGTTCTGTCTCTTGCAAATATTTTGTTTCTGCTGTTGTAATGATTTGGGCAGGCTCATTGAAATCTGCTTACACGGTTGCAGTTACCTTTGTGTTTGCAGAGCCATTGCCTGTCTCTGGAGTGCCTTAATTATGTCTCTTGGCTTTGTCTTGGCTTCTACAAAGTAAAAAAAAAGATGTTGATGAGACTTGTTTACCTTTATTCCTTATACTGAGAGAGTAGTTCTTTGTGTGCACTTGCCGTTAGAGTAGCATTTCATCTTTGTGATTCTGATTTGTGTTGCTTTCTAAGGACAGGCTTTCCATTTTCTCTTTGGGATAATTCTTTCTGCATCTTTTTCTCAAGACTATATTCACCTGGTCAATAGAAAATCACCACATTAGTTGCCTGAGAAGAATTTTGCTCCATTTTGCCCAGAGATCAGGGCAAATGCTGTGATCCCAGAAGAATGCAGCTGTCAAAGCAGAGCATGGGCTGAAATTCAGGTGTCAGTTCACATTGACACATTTAAGGTTTGATTGATTAATTACTTTGAAAATTAGTGAGCTAATGGACTGATGGTACATTTAGTATCTTCATGGTGATGAACACAAAATATCTTGAAACAGACTTAAGAGTTTATACTTCAAATGGTGTCCCTGCCCATGGCAGGGGGTTTGGAACTTTAAGGTCTCTTCGAACCCAAGCCATTCTATGATGATAATGAAATGCATAGTAACACCAATGTCTAAATAACTTCTGAAGTCTTATAAACTGTTGGCCTTTTTGCCAGTGAGTTTGAATGATCAGTGCTAGTTTTTTTTCATCAGGTTTTGAGTTATCTCTTGAGTTGGATGAATATTCACTTATTCTCTGAACAGAGGTGTCAGCTTGTTGCCTTCAAATCACTGAGGAATTTGTACATCTTGTAGAGGATGTACTGCTGTGGGATGTGCTTTAGAGGATGAAGTCAGGAGCTGGAATCCAGCTCACTTCAGTGAGTGACAGATTTCGCTATTCCTGTTTTGAAATTAGTAGTGACGACAGTACTTTTGTAGTTAGTAAAACAACTTGTATATTACAAGTCCATGTAAGTTAAACATTATAACCAATTATGAAGTAAACAATTTAAAAAATAGATGAAAAATGCTTTGACATTCTGACCTGTCATAGTACGTCATTAATAGCCAGCAGATGTTAAAATTTGACTCCAAAGGGCAGGATTTCTTCAGTTTAGTTCTTTGGAAGTACAACTCTCAATTTCACATGTTGGTTTTACTAGTTCTCTTTTAACTTACAATTTTACTTGAGTCTGGATGCAAGTCTAGGTTTACACAGTGTCTTCTGAGCAGCAAAGCAGCAATGCTTTTAGATCGTTGTGAAGGAGCGCAGTGAAGTTAAGAAACTGAATAGTCTCTGGAATGGGCTTTACCATCCTCAGTAAAGTGGAACACCTAAGCTGGTTGATAGAGAAAACTGAGAAGATGCAATCTTTATTTTGCTTGGAATTGGGTGCCTAATTGTAACCTCCTACCTCACTCTTTTTTCTCCACTTCTCTCTGTGCACATACCTTTCCCTACAAATCCGTATCTCTGCATACAGCAGCTTGCTGTTCCCTGGGTTGCGCTCAGTTCTGCCTCGCATACATGCTGAGCCCCATGGGGCATGGCACTGCCATCAGGAATGCTTGTTTCAGGTATCCCCCATGGTTTCGTGTGCTTTGGTCCTAGATGCTGACATACCATCTTAGTTGATGATGCAATGAAGTGCCAAAACTCTGTTGTGGTATTTTTGAGCCACATCTGCAAATGCTTGCTGAGTAACTAAGCCACGTTGCAGAGCTTTTGTGGGCTGCATATATTGATTTGGCTGCCCAAGGTGCCATTTTGAATTTGACTTTTACTGTTTATGAAGATTTTAGGTCACTCCTACTGTCTGTTCTATGAAGAACTGGATCTAGTCTGGACTCTGAATTCAGATGTCCCTTTTGCCCATTTCTGTGAACCTTAGGAAAACTCAGAACTGGGTCTAAATTTGTGGCTCAGGCATAGTGCCAATAGTGCACTTTGAATCCAATTCAGTGCATTGGGTTTGTTGGTTTTGAATTGCTTTGAGTTACTTGATACTTCTGACTTGCTGACACAGGGTAGTTCAGGAGAATGGCTATATATACATGGCCGATGTCAAGTGCTGTGCTTTTTTTAGAGATCTTCTTCATTATAATTTATTCACATAATTACAGTATGCTGAGTATGTTGCCATAGTCTGTTTTCACATCCCACAGTACTGTTCAGTGTTGGGGTGGCTCTGTAAGAAATCCAACTTTACAGTAATACAGGAAATCAAGCTGTCTAATTTATCAAGAAAAAGGAATTGAAATACTTTGTGTAACAAAGGAAAACAAACAAACAAAAAACCCCCAGTGCATATGGTGTACTGGTGGTAATGGTGGAAAGTGGAGATATAGTGCTATAAGGATAATTGCTTTGACCTCCTGTTCCCTCTGAGAAAACTGGAGGCGACTTCTGTGTTTAAATCCTATCCAAGAATTTGTAATTAGGAACAGTATCATTCAGAAAACAGTGGTATAAGCAGATAAATCCAATGAGCACTAGAGGGATTCGGGAGTCTCATTCATAAAGCAACCATCTTCAGCTGTTGTGATTTAGCCCTAGATGAAAGCCAAGGCTGACTCTGGGGCATAATGTGATGTAAACTGATAGCAAGGGCTGTTCCACTGGTTGTGTCCTGGCATGGAGCTCAGCTCTTGCATTGCACTCTGTGCCAGGCTGTATGCTGGCATCAACCTCAGGTTTTCTGAGAGCAGTAAACCTACCCACTGGCTTCTCTTCCGTGGGTTTCCTTGAAGCACAGTGGCATTAAGAAATGCCTTGGTGTATAGAGGCTAGGCAGAAACAAAAGAAGAAAGGATGGTTTGGAGCCTTATCCTGATGGAGGCACTGATAATTAGAGCAGCTGTTCTCTGAAGAGAGCATTTTTGGGTTAGTCATGATCTTCATGGGAGCTAAAGAATAGAAAATGGAAACTGGAATGTTGTCATTGTCCCAGGGAAAATGAACACACAGGTAGGGAAAACTGGCTGATATCTTCTGCAAGTGCCACTGCTGAAGGCTGGGAAATCTTTTAACTGAGGGCTGTCAGGACATATAGGCCTTTCATATCCTTCCTGAAGCAGATGGACATCAACCTTTTTTCAGCCTTTGAGAGAAGAGAGGATTTA